CTGCGTGGAGCTAACGTGTCGTATTGACACCATACCCAGGCCCTGCAGGTCACAACTGAGAGCTACTGGGATGGTCCCAGCACGTTGTGCTTCTGCCTCCTCCGTACCACGTCTCGTGCAAGTATGAAAACCGGACTTTGGTCCGCACAGCTTTCAAGAGGGCAGCTTTCAGAATTCTTAAAATCATTCTTGAAGAGGGGTATGTCTCCCTGGTGTAGTTACAATTTGGAAGGTGTTACTGGAGTGTCAGAAAAAGAAAACACGTTCCCATGATTAGAGCTCTTTGGATATTGATTTATCATGAAAATGTTAAAGAACTGTTTTCAATGCACATTTCTCTTTTGCAGAACCAAACTGAAGAACCACGAGTATGAAACTTTAGATCAGTTGGAGGCTGATCTGAACTTGATGTTTGAAAATGCCAAGCGCTACAATGTTCCCAATTCTGCCATCTATAAGAGAGTACTGAAAATGCAGCAGGTTATGCAGGTATGTGGAGTAGAACAATTAAAAGGATATAATTTCATGTGTGAATTTATTTCCGTAATGAATATTTTTGCAGTAGTATTTCCCTGGTTAGCGGGAAGTATGGGAATGATACTCTTCATAGGCTGATTTTTCTTTACCATACCTGCTGCTTTCTATGATTTCTTTTGGTAACTTGTATTCCTTACTATGGCACGACATAAATTGTGAGAAAATTGATGATAAGGGATTTTTTTAAGGGTTTGCAGGTAACTGGAGGATGCTAAAACACTTCAGATTTAACGAAATGTTCCAGCTAAGTATTGGAGTCTGAAATGGAATTTTTTTTCAAATTGGTTCCTCAAAATTTCTTCTTGACAGTTAAAAAGAGTTATACCGCTATTTTATGTCAGCCAACTCATATTAAGTAAATCACTGGAAGTATTTTGATGGTGGTTTAGTCTCAAAATGCATAGTTGCATCTTTCTGTGTGCATCTGATCTGTTCTGATGTTTGATATTGGAAAAGTCCAGCAGTCAATGTAGCTTCAGAGGTTTGTTCTCTCTTCAGGCAAAGAAGAAGGAACTTGCTAGGAGAGATGATATTGAGGATGGAGACAGTATGATTTCTTCTGCTACATCAGATACTGGAAGTTCAAAAAGGAAAAGGTACGCACTTTTGTAGTTGTTGCAGACCATGACATTGCTATGTCTTTTATTAATTAAAAGAGAATATTAAGCCATGGTTTGTAGCATTCATGTGAGGATTTGTAATTTTGAAAGTTAACCACATTAGGTGTTGTTAATTCAAAACTACTTGCTGACTTTGTTTTCCATTTTTAGTCTGTTAGTTGGCAGTTGTCAACGTAACTTTAGTAAGTGGCACAGACACTATAGTTGCACTGAATTAGGTAATTTTGTCACTAGATTTCAGGGGATTTATTTGTGTTTATTTAGCCTGCAGACTGTCTTCACAGTTTGTTAGCAACTCTTGCTTCTTTTCTGCTGCTTCTCCAATATATGACTATTTATGTAATTCAAGTAGCAATTTCAGAATATAATTCAAGTTAGCACTATATTTGGATAAATTCTTTGAAAGTTTATGGTAATATTGTACCAATATTTTTATTTGTTGGTATCTCCTTTCATTTTCCACGACCTGAATTCTGCTTGAGGAGTTTTCATCATTAATGTTAGAGGATGGCTTCTGTCTCCCTTTTGAATTTGTACTCTTGGCTTGCTGATCTGTCAGTGCCTGGGCCAAAGAGGGTATTTGACAAATTGAGTGTAATAGATTGATTGTTCTGGTTACTGTGAGATAAACAAAATTCACAATGATGTAAAATATACTCTTTTAGTGAGCAACAGTGATGGTTTATGGAAAGTATTCCTTAACAGTGACAGCTGTTGTGTAGTTAATGTTGGTGATGCATTTCATTCCAACAAGTGATAGTTTCTCTAGTCTGCCTTGTGATATCATTTGAAATAAGTTCTAACTTCTGATAATATTATTACTATAGTAGCAATTGCCAGTGTAAAACTAATTCAGCGTCTTTCTTTACTGTTGCTTATGACCTTGAGCTTCCCGTGCTTTTAGTTCTTTGTTTTGTCAAAATAACAGCAGTTGTGGGCGAAAAAAGGGAGTGAAATAGAGCAAAGATTCACTGAAGAAAAATCTGCAGGGATAAAATGTTAACGTGGGTTTAGCGGGGTGATACAATTGGGATGCTAGGAAGAAGAAATGTACTGGAATGGTAGGACGGGCCACAGTGCCAGCTGAAGATCAGGAAGGAACAAATTGTAAAGATTGCTAGTTTTTTGATGTTTGGATTCAAAGAGAAGTATTAACCTAATCAAGCAAGCCAAACTGTCATCAGTGTCCTTTTAACCCTGTGTTGCTTCTGATTACCTGATGCAAGAGAATACCAAAATGCTTGAAAGAAAAGAAATCTGTCAGGCCTTGCCATCTGAAAACAGCAGAAGAAAAAGTTGTGTTCACTGAGAAGAATTCCAAAATGCTGCTGAAAAAGGAAACTAATAACCCAGGCAAAATTCATCCTGATGGGAAAATAATAGTGACATAGAAGAAAGTTATTTGAACGTCCCCTTTTATGTATCAGATGCATGACCTGAATCTCGAATATAGGCAGGCCTTTTACTATGTCTACTTTGGGTTTGCTTTTAGCTACTTTCGTTGAACTAAATGTTAAATCTTGAAAACATGTTCAAGTGTGGAATTTGGAAGTGTGTCTCTCTTCTGACACTGCTCTTCTGACATCTGCTTGTGCAAACCACTGACACAGTTTCCAGCAGTGAAGACAAGGCAGAAAAAAGTTTTTAACCTATAGAAGATACGTTTTGAATTTTCTCACATGTTGTGTCATTAATTTTCATTAGTTACCTTGGTGAGGTCAGCAAGGTATCTGAGGTGGGAGGCTATGCTGGATTAGGTATAATTTAAATGTAGGAGGAAAAGACCCAGATGATGGAAAATCTTATGATGCGATTTGATTTCTAGCAAATTGCACAGTGATATTCTGCACATTCTGCAAATGAAAATAGTTTCTGATGTTGTTGTCAAATAATATAGTCAAAGATATGTATAAATAATATATATACAGGTAATAAAGTCCAAGTTACAGCTTCTTGAATGAGACTTAGAGAGGTTGCAGTTCAGAAGCTAGTTTAAAAGTTCTTTGCAGAGTGTGTGTTTCAAAGAGTGCCGGGATATCTGAGCTGAGATTATACATCAGTGGTACCAACTTTCCTCTTCCTTATCTGATTTGCTTATAGACCGTGTAGTGTACGTACAGGGAGCTGTGCATAACTGTTTTCCCGATAAGCTGTGTCTTGGTTGTGCTTCAGATTCCTTGAGACAACAGTAGTAGCTGCCCATGGGATGACTATAATGTTTGTGTTGATAGCATGTACGTGGCCATTTTCCACCTGGCTTTGCAATTTTGGTGAGCTTTGTTGTCTTGTAAGTTCATTTGACTGGTTAGCAGATATGTGAGCAATTCAGACCCTTCTTTCTACTACTTTCTTGATGTCCTTATTTTCTTGTATATGGTACTGAAGAAGATGGAGAGTTACTCTGAGATAAATAGCTCAGGTCTTTGCTATTCTGTATGCAGCAGCAGTCATGAAGATAGTGGCTGAAGGGTTTTTCCCTCTTTGCACTAGGTCTCGAGGTCTTGGATTTAGATACTTAGTCCTGACTGATGTGTTTTCTCTCTGACTGGAATGTGCCTAGAGCTCCTTTTCACCTTTGCACTTTTGAAAACTAGTTATTTGTTTTATTCTGTAGAACACTTCAATTCAAAGTGAGCGAGAGAAAATTCGTATCTTAAAGTTGGTTTCGTGTTTATTTAGCAGCCTGCTGGTTATGATACTGTCATTATTTGCAAATGGCCCTATGCTTCTCGTATGCTCTCTTAATGTCAAACTTTTTGTGCATGTGTTCAGGTGGTGATTGTTGGTTTTTTTATTTGATAGAGGATAATATAATTTTCATATTGATGTTGAAAGTGGAGAAAAGAGCCCTGGGCATTTATTCTTTTCCTTTTTGTTGTTCTCCTTAACCTAACAGTAAAAAGAATATACGAAAGCAACGAATGAAGATCTTATACAACGCAGTTCTGGAAGCTCGAGAACCAGGCACAGGCAGACGACTCTGTGACCTGTTTATGGTTAAGCCATCCAAAAAGGACTATCCAGACTATTATAAAATTATTTTGGAGCCGATGGACTTGAAAATGATAGAACACAACATCCGCAATGATAAGTACCCAGCAGAAGAAGCCATGATTGAAGACATGAAGCTCATGTTCCGAAATGCAAGACATTATAATGAGGAAGGCTCCCAGGTACTGTTCTGATTTTGCAGTCACATCCCTCTGCTTCTTTGCAGGCATGTAAGTTATGTTAGGATAGTTTAACTTTGATAGTTATGTAATTTATGATAGTTTATTGAACTAAAATAGAACTATGATTTTTTTCTTCCTGCTGGTGTTTTAAATTCTGTCTTCATCTGTAGTTGTATAAATGTGAAAAGCAACCCTCTCCTTTGCAAAGGTTAGACTTATTTCCTGTTAGCTAAACTTGTTCCTCCACTACAAAGAGTGTCAGCTGAATGTTTCCTAGTCTGTTTTAAAAAAATAAACTGGTTACTAAATTCTCATTATTATTCTCAAGATTATATCTCCCTGATTTGGATGGTGCTCATCAGTTCTGCTTACCTGTGTAAGTCTATTAAAGGTGTACATTTGAGAAATAAGCCGTTATTTTTAATCTAATATTTGGCTTTGCATTAAGCTTTTTCCGACTAACATTTAAATGTTTCTTGGGGGCTAGTTCTAAACTAGTCTAAACACAGTAATCCTTGGTTTTGTTTTTTGATTACTTTACTGATTGATAGGTATACAATGATGCCCATATGCTGGAAAAGATCCTTAAAGAAAAAAGGAAAGAACTGGGACCACTAGCTGAAGATGATGATGTTGCATCCCCTAAACTAAAGCTAAGTAAGGCCGCCTCATACATCGCTGTGTCTCATTTCAACACTTAGGAAAACCCAACAATGCAGATTAACATATCTTCCTGTTAGAATAGAAGACATGATCTCCAAATCTACACTGGCATGCAAAATAGAATTGTATTTTCAAAATCGTGACAGCAGTGATGAGTTTATATGTGCATATAATAGAATTTAGTTGTTTTATATAGCGTTTTCTGAGAAAAGTAAGTTAGAATGAAGAAAGAAAAAAGCCTTGGGGATGATTGGTGTGACTGACATTTAGTCATGTGATTTCCAAATGTCAGATGCTGCATTATGTGTTCAGTGACACTTCATTAGCACATTTAATGTGTGCTACTGGGATTGCTTACAAGTACGATGCTTCTCAAACTGAGTGAAGCTCTTCATTTCCCAATGTCTGGGGTTGCCACAAAATGATAAAAGAAATGTGAGCTTTATTTGGAAAATTATTGAAAACCATGAAAAACACAGCAGTAAAATTTCTAAACAATGTCTGTTCCCAGAGCTGTTGCCCTTACAAACTAGTTTTGCTACCACTCATATCTTATGTCTGCTTAATACGTGTTCAGAACTTAGCAAATGGAGGATAAAATGGCCTGGAAAGGCTTAAAGGAAATAACTGTACACAGCCCTTTGGGAAGTAGGAACGTGCAGCTCTTGGGTAAGGTACAGGTGATAGGGAATTCAGAGGCAGAGATTATGCAGTACAGTAATAGAGATCCTGAATTAATCAAAAAGCTGATCGGACTGATAATCCCTTGAAAGGCCTCATTTTACATTTTACCTGTAATAATCCTCTCTAATTTGGCATAAACCTGTCATAAAGGAATCTAGTAATATTTAGAATGCTTAATTTTCGTGCTAGCAGAATCCTGCAAAGCTGTAATTTGGAATGGGCTCCGTGTTGTGAGTCTTCTGCTCACAGAATAAAGTAATTTGATAAGGAATTCTCCAGTGGAAAGGAGATGGACGAAGAAGTGTGCAAGTTCTGGTTTTGTAATAACTGGGTTTTTTCTTTTTTTTCTTTTTGTCTGCTTAGGTAGAAAAAGTGGCATTTCTCCTAAAAAATCGAAATATATGACTCCAATGCAACAGAAATTGAACGAGGTGTATGAGGCAGTGAAGAATTACACGGATAAACGGGGCAGGCGACTGAGTGCCATCTTCTTGAGGCTGCCATCTCGGTCTGAACTTCCTGACTATTACGTCACCATTAAAAAGCCCGTTGACATGGAGAAGATCAGAAGTCATATGATGGCAAATAAATACCAGGATATTGATTCCATGGTAGAGGACTTTGTCATGATGTTCAATAACGCTTGCACATATAACGAGCCAGAGTCTTTGATTTATAAAGATGCCCTGGTCCTGCATAAAGTTTTGCTTGAAACTCGGAGAGAAATAGAAGGAGATGAGGATTCTCATGTGCCCAATGTCACTTTGCTAATTCAGGAACTTATCCATAACCTTTTTGTATCTGTTATGAGCCACCAGGATGATGAAGGCAGATGCTACAGTGACTCCTTAGCCGAGATTCCTGCAGTTGATCCCAACTTTCCAAATAAACCTCCTCTGACTTTTGATATTATCCGAAAAAATGTTGAAAATAACCGCTACAGAAGATTGGACTTGTTCCAAGAGAATATGTTTGAGGTGCTGGAGAGGGCAAGGAGAATGAACAGGTGAGCAAAGCTATTATTTTTCAAGTATCTTTTGTCTTATCATGTGACTTCTGCATGTTAAAGTTAGACAAAGGCAGACTTTTTTTAAGATATTTACTTTCCTTGGTATGAGCATTTAGAAAACTAAATCTCAAAAACTCTACCCAGTCTTTCGCAGAATATGTACTTTCATTTAAAAACAAGGAAGAACTTAAGTTTTTGCCATGAGATAATTTTGACTTTGATCTTCCAAAGGCACAACTCAAAAAACAGATTTATGCTAACTTTCAAAATGAAAAAGTGAAGAGGAGGAGTTCTTCACTGACTGCCTGACTAGCAGATTACTGTATGAGTTATGGTAATATTGTACAAAAACTATGAACACTTGCAACTTCTTGCAATGTTTTACTTGAGTTGAGTAGGGCACTTTTGGATGTGCAGGTGAGCTCTTGACTCTGAATGGGAGGAGGTATGAAATTATATTAAAACATCTGCTAACAGGAGTATAAGTCAATTTTTTTAATAATACTGCTATTACTTAAGTTTTCGGAAGTTAACAGATTGTAGAGGTCCAGTGGCAAGTAGTTTTGGTCACAACTGGTTACCTTTTGTTTTTTCGGGTGGTTTTGAACTGGTGTTTTGGGTGAACTGTAATACAAACTGACGACAGCGTAGCAAGTGGAGCCAGTGTCTACTGCTGCTTCTGATAAGTAAGCACACATATCCATTGGTAGAGTGAAGCTTCTGTTTTATCACTGAGCGTGGCAATTGATGGATATGTGTTTGGGATCCTCTTTGACTCTACACAAACTAAGTTTCTGTCCTGTTGTATGTGTTTTTGTACAGGACTGATTCGGAGATTTACGAGGATGCAGTTGAACTTCAGCAGTTCTTTATTAAAATTCGAGATGAACTTTGTAAAAATGGAGAGATTCTTCTGTCACCAGCCCTCAGCTATACCACCAAACATCTTCACAATGATGTAGAAAAGGAAAAGAAGGAAAAGCTGCCCAAAGAAATAGAGGAGGATAAGCTCAAAAGAGAGGAGGAGAAGAGAGGTAGCTGCTTTCTTTTAATTAATTTTAAATGTGTTAATTAACAGATGTATCTATGCATATGATCTATGCTCTGCTGTAGCTGAAACTTTGCCTGCTGAATGAAGGGACCTTAAAGGTCTAGTTGACCACCAAAGGTCTTGTGTTTCAAAGTTATGAGAGATTTCTTTTATTTTTTATCCTTATTAGCCAGGCTAGATGGCTTTTAAGAAAGAGATGTAGGTAGACACTATCCTTGCGTAAACTCTTTGATTGGAAGGCATTGGGGTACCAGTAGTCTTATTTTGAGGATATTATAAAATAAAACAACAGTTTTTTACTACAACTTTCTGCTCATAATGAACTTAGCAGTGACTGTTCCAACTGACGTTTAGGCGTTTCCTTTTTAGCAAATACTGGTCTCTTGAGGTGCTGATGGCATTGTATGTGATTGTGCTTTTAACGCTGCTAAGGAAATAATACATAAGTAAGCCTTTTGTGTTTCTTACTTGGTTACCATGAGTGTGAAGAGAAAGGGGCTTGCACTGTTTCGTCAGGCAAGAAACCTACTCTGAAAGTCTTCAAAGTTTCACAGTTCCTGGCAGTTCCTGTCCATGTAACTGTTGTGGAGCATGTCTAGGGGAATGAGTAAAGCTTTCTGATTGCTCTCTTCCGCAGATGGGAGCAGAGCAGTTAGCTCTCTGGCACTGAGTTGTCTTTCTAACATGGTTCGTCCTCCCATATAACACTGATGTCCCCAGCAGTATGGTTGCTTCAGCCAGGCTCAGTATCTTAAGAGGACAACCAGCTGTGATGCCCTTTTTTCTGTCTTCCTTTGAGAGTTAAAAACCCCAAAGAAAGCGAAATGTGCCTTTCTGAAGGCTTCTCAGCTTAGTGCTGTCATAGAGTTCCACTTCACTCACTGGGAGGGCTCAGTAAAATTCAGCTGAAGAAAGGAAGCCCAACTTTCAGCAGCACAAAACATGCTTAAACCCTCCCTTCATGCTGAAAGTCCATGACAGAGGAACACACTGGGTACCATGTGGCATTCTTGCACATGGCATGTCTGCACTCAGAAAGAGTGAGGATTTTCATATCAGTAATCTTGGCTAATGGGGGCCGGTTAGTTCAGTCGGTTGGAGCGTGGTGCTGATAACACCGAGGTCGCAGGTTCGATCCCCGTTCGGTCCCCGTGTGTTGCCTGATCTAGTTGAGAGGCGTCCCTGCCCATGACATGGAGGTTGGATTAAGTGATCTCTAAGGTCCCTTCCAGGCCATTCCATGATTCTATCTTGGAAACGTGGCATTACTAACATCCGTTTTCCCCTTCCTGAAATAAGAAGCTGAAAAGAGTGAAGATTCTTCTGGATCAGCTGGGCTGTCAAGCTTGCATCGGACTTACAGCCAGGATTGCAGCTTCAAGAACAGCATGTACCATGTAGGAGATTATGTGTATGTGGAGCCTGCTGAAGCCAATTTGCAGCCCCACATAGTCTGTATTGAGAGGCTGTGGGAAGATTCAGCTGGTAAGGATGACTTTGCTATAGGAAAGTAATATGGTGAAACTTCTTATTGCTATTTAAAACCTCAGGTTTGAGCTTTTTCTGTGTGGATCTTACTTTATTTGCAGAAGTATATGTGGGCTGGTGAGTATTTTTCTTGTTTCCGAGTTGCTCTGTTCCAAAGAATATTGCAAATAGAGAACTCTTGGATCAGCACATCAGTTATTCATCTTTACCTACCCTCAAACTGTAAGCATCTCAGAGAACAGGCTTTTCAAAGTGGGATGAGCTCCTTGTAATTGAAGTGCAGAAGAACATATGTGGTTTTTTCTGTGCTGAGAAATCTGAACCAAAGTTGAGCATGTTTAACTAAAAATGTTCTATAGAACTCAGTTTCAGAAGTTGCTGTTGTTAAATTTCAGAATTGAGCCAAATCTTGCTTTTCCTAGGCCAAATTTACAGCTCTGCTTCAGTATAAGTGACTGCATGGCTATTTGATTAACCAGTCTGTCTGTAGTTCTTTTTTCTTGCTCCTGCACTGGACAACATGCGTTTTACTTTTTCTTTCCCCCCCCCGCCATCCGTTTTAGGAGAGAAGTGGCTCTACGGCTGTTGGTTTTATCGACCAAATGAAACGTTTCATCTTGCAACACGAAAATTCTTGGAGAAAGAAGTTTTTAAAAGTGACTATTACAATAAGGTTCCTGTTAGCAAAATTTTAGGAAAATGTGTGGTCATGTTTGTCAAGGTGAGACACTGTTCAGACTAACTTGTTAAGGAAATATGTTTTCTGTGTTTTCTTGAAGAGCTGTAGACACCCTGACACAGAAACATTCTACTAGTACTTAAACAAAATAGGACTTACTCCTGTGTACTGTTTGTACTCTTAATTTGCTCTGTGAAATACATAGTTCATCCAAGTGATGGCATTTCCCAGCGCTGCTTTGTTTGTAGAATCATACGCTTATTAGATAATTAGCTAACTGGTTTTTTCAGAGCATGTAGTAGAGAATTTGCACGTAACGTTTTAAAGGTTCCCACAAAGCGTATAGATTTAGGTTTGGTAGAGAGGGAGGCTTCAGTGGCTTGGCAAGGGGATGAAGTTTTTCATCTCTGTCTCGAGTTTGATTCCACGTCACCCTTGTGCTGGAGTTTTTGAGCTTGTTTGCAACATAACTCTCTCACCAGTTTTTTGAAGGCAGTCTGTACGGAACAAGGTGCTGCCCTTGCCGAGTGCATGAATGGGTATCGCAGTCACGTGTCAGTGAGCACAGAGGTAACTGCCCCCCCAACCTTGATGATCGTGTTCTCTTCCCAGATCAAAGCTCAGAAATCTTGTAGAGGTGCGTTTAGGCTGCACATCTTGTACTTGTTAATGTACCATTTTGGTAAACCATTTTCTCATGTGACAACCTCAACTGAATGTAGATTCTCTAAGGATGGGATGTCTTCGTTTTGGCTTTTAGTTTTTAATACAACTTGGATGTTGAACTGGAAGAATAGAACTCAGGCTTTATTAGTCTAAAAGTGGCTTTGGTCAAAACAGAAAAAAACCAAGAACTGTGAGAGTTCACTGTGTCTGTGGATTATGTGTGTTGCTGAAATATTCCATATTTTTTCTTGAATCTGCAGGAATATTTTAAATTGTGTCCTGAAAACTTCAGAGATGAGGATGTCTATGTCTGTGAGTCACGTTACTCCGCGAAGACAAAGTCTTTTAAAAAGATTAAACTGTGGACTATGCCTGTAAGCTCTGTAAGGTTTGTCCCACGAGACGTGCCCCTGCCTGTGGTCCGTGTTGCTTCTGTATTTGCCAATACAGACAAAGTAGATGAGGAGAAACACTCTGAGTCATTGGAAGACAGTAAGGTGGGAGAAAGTATTCTTCATCTTGAAAAGGTATGTAAGGTAACAAGTGGAACAGTGATTGTGTTTGACAGAAAGTGGCAAAATATGAGCCCTCATGACTTCACAGCGTCCATACACAATAAAATATAAACAAATATGTTTCCGTTGTAATTACGTTATAACATTTGTAAATAAATACAAAATATAAAAAGACTAAACAGAAAATAAAAGTGTACCTATCTGCTAGAATCTACAACTGATTTCTTGTGATCATGGGCAGGGGCTGCACTGTGTTTTTTATCACTTCAGGAAAGAAGATCACACTTTTACTGTAAAGCTTCCCTTAAGCCTTAAGAACCAGTAGAACTCAAAGTCTAATTTTAGTTCGTGGCAATGCTGAAATGCTTTATTATGTAGTATTTCAGTAAAATAGTCAGTAGCTAGGCAGCAGTAAGCACTACATAATATTCTGTTGTTTGTAACCTATTTATGGTTGATAGTCGTTTATCGTTGAAATGCTTAAGAATATTTCTACCTAATATACTGGGGAAAACGGTGGATTGTGTTTATAGTAATAAAAGAAATATATTTAAATGAATGTTTTAAATTCAATTAAATAGAATTAAATTTATCTAAAATAAATTTAGAGTCATAAAAATTAACTTAAATTCATAAAATAAATCCACTTCACATTGAGTTCTCTAACAGAACCCCAGAACAGAGTACCCATTGCACACATTGTCATCTTTAATCAGACGCTTAGTATATATAATTGTATTTATTCACATCAAAGCAAAAGAAGGAATTAGTTTTACTAAGAGAATGAAAACTTGTAGGGTCTTTTTCTTCCCCACTTTGGGGAGATATCCCGTGTTTTCACTGGCTTTCTTATATCCTATACTAAAAGGTCAAAAGAGACACAATATGAGTTTTGGTTAAAAAGTAAGAAATTAAATAGGGCAAATGGTGTGAATTTGCAAGTAATAGATGGAGTGTTCTTATTTTTGTATATCAGAGTCAAATCGTTTAACGTCTGTGTGTGGTAACTTGGCCATATACACAATTCTTGCCTCTTAAGCATGTTATGTGCTTTAAAACAAACCATCAAAATAAGCTGACAAGGCTTGGCTTGGCCAGTTGACTTTGAAAGAGCAGAACAAAAAGAGAACCATAAATTACTGTTCTGGCAAAATTACAACCTTGTGAAATAAGAGCTTGTGACATATATGGAGAGTATGTTTGGCTTTGCTATTTAATTTTTAAATTTCAGGGCCCCTTGCTTTCACATGTACAGCTCTGCTTAGTGTTTAGCTGTTATTGGTAATGTAAAGATATGTGTTTATGTGTTACCTTTTCCTTCTTCCACAAGTTTCCAAATGCATATTTTTCTGCAGGACAAAGAAGATGTTCCAGTAGAAATGTCCAATGGAGAACCAGGTTGCCATTACTTTGAACAGCTCTGCTACAACGATATGTGGCTTAAGGTTGGGGACTGTGTCTTCATTAAATCACATGGGTTAGTGCGACCTCGAGTTGGAAGGTAGGTGCAACTTCTTTATTTGCAGTTTGTATCTATAAAAATAACTTGGACAAAAGACCGGTTGTTGCAAAAGGTGTAAAAGGCCATAGGAAAAAAAAGTCTTCCAATTGAAGCTAAATGCTACAAGGTCTTAATAGAATGAGGAAGGATTTTAGCTGCCTTATAAGAAGATCATACAGTTGAAATTAACTGTTCTTCTCTACTTGTTTTTTACTGACAGTCTTCCTGAACAGCCTAGTGGAACCAGCTGTCTCATTTAGGAGGGATGGCCTTTTCGTTTATGTCGGTGGTTTGGTTTTCTTTCCAGAATTGAAAAGATGTGGGTGCGAGATGGAGCTGCCTATTTCTTTGGTCCAATCTTTATACATCCTGAAGAAACTGAACATGAACCAACAAAAATGTTCTACAAGAAGGAAGTGTTTTTGAGTAACTTGGAGGAGACCTGTCCGATGACTTGCATTTTGGGTAATTATTAACAACTTTAAATCCAGTGGACACTTTCTTTTCCTATACAAAATCAGGTGATTTATGGCTATGTATAGGCTTGATTCCAAGTATGTGGGTTTTCTATATTGAGTTGAGGAGGAGAGATTATTCAGTCCATTTCTAATGTGCATTCTTGTCTTTGGGACCTGTGGTGAGATTTTTCACTATAAGGAAGATTTCTCGCAATAAAGGAATTACATGTATGGTATCAAGGTGAATGTTGTCTACAGCCAGAGAACAGAATACTTCATTATTCTCACTTTTTAATGTAGTTATTCAAGTATGGAAAGTTGATCCAGAAGGAGATTGAAATTTGATTTGTTGTGTAAAATGATGACTATGTATGTTACTTTGTAGTTATGTTGTAGTTATGTAGTTAGTTCACTGACAGGTGATAAGGGTGTTTTGTATTTTACCGGTTTTCTTATTTTAAAAAAACCCAAAAGCTGCATTAAGTTTGTGCGCGTTTCTCTCGAATGGCATTATTGAATAAGAGTATCATTTGATGTGTTTTCCATAGTTCACCAAGCTCTAGGAATCTTCCAGACTTGAGAGACTGGCCAAAACTTGAGTTTCCACACTTTTTGCACAAGGTCTGCAAGTGTGGCTGCCTTCTTATCCAGCTCTTTCTTTTCTTCAGGGAAGTGTGTGGTTCTGTCATTCAAAGACTTCCTCTCCTGCAGACCAACAGAAATCTCCGAAAACGATGTTTTTCTTTGCGAGAGCCGCTACAATGAAAGCGACAAACAAATGAAGAAATTTAAAGGGCTGAAGAGGTTTTCACTCTCGGCGAAAGTTGTAGATGATGAAATATACTATTTTAGGTAAAAATGTGATGAGAATGAGGGGGTCACCTGAGCAGTCTTCTGTATTGTGTTGGATGGACTCTGGCTGGCAGCTAAGCTCTCTCCCAGCCACTTGCTCACTCCCCCACAGTGGGATGGGGGAGAGAATCAGAAGGGCAAAAGGAAGAAAAACTACTGTGTCAAGATAAAGATGGTTTAATAGGTGAAGCAGAATAAGGAATTAAGTCACTGTGTTCTGTGGGCAGGCAGATGCTTGACTGTTTCCTGGAAGACAGGGCTTCAGCATGCTGATGGTTACTTGGAAAGGCAAACACCAGAACCCCTTTCTTCTCCTTTCCCCCAGTTGATTTTTTTGGCTAAGCACAATGCCATATGTATGGACTGTCCCTGTCTGACTGAGCTGTCCTGGTTGTCTCCCCTCCCAAGTTACTGCTCAGCCCCAGTCTGCTTGCTGACAGGCAGAGCAGGGAAAAGAAAAGGCTTTGATGGCTGTTGAGCAGTAACAACAGTATCTCTGTGTTATCAACATCGTTGTGATCATAAATCCAAAATACAACACCACACAGACTACTACACAGAAAATTAACTCCATCCAAGCCAGATACAGCAGATAGATAAAAGTCATAGGTGCAGAAAATTAATTTGGACTAATCATGCTTTTGGGAAGAAGTTCAGATAATGTCGGTCTTTTCATAGTCTTAATACCATGAATATACCTTTTTTTTTTTTTATCTTCTCACTTTAGGAAGAGATGTTACAGTATCAGATTGCTAAATTCTCTTGGATGTCTTTAAAATACTGAAGTCCTCACTATGGGTAACAAATACCTTTCCAGTTGGTGGACATTGATATTAATTAAACTATTAAGTTCTAACTTAACTAAAATGTAAAATTTAAGGAAGATGTGGTGTTAGTTGCTTTCTGTCATAGAAATGACGTTTGCTGCGTTGAAATTCCCTTCTAACTCACAAAAAATAAAAAAAAGTCCTTCAAACAATTGACTGAAATGAAACATAGGCCGTAGACACTGAATTTCTGCTGTGTTCTGAAAGGAAGCACAGGTGCATGCTGAGTCATCATTCGTTCTGTTCTTCAGTGATAAAAGAAGAAAAGTTGGTTTTCTCCTCAAAAATGTATGCTGTCTCTTGTACAGTATGAGTGTGTTCTCATCTGCTTTTTGTCTTCCTCCTCACCTTTCAGAAAACCCATAGTTCCTCAGAAAGAACCATCTCCACTACTGGAAAAGAAGATTCAGCAGCTAGAAGCGAAATTTGCTGAGCTGGAAGGAGGTGATGAGGACATGGAAGAGATGGGAGAAGAGGAAGGTGATATGACTGAAACACCTTCTATGCCTCAGCTGCAGACCCCGTTAGCTAGTGAATTGGATATAATGCCTTATACTCCACCACAGGTAAGGACCTTCCTTGAGAAACCTTCAAACTTTGTATTCCACTTTCTTTCCCCATCTCAGATAAACAAAGAAACATATTTTATCCTGCAGACAGAAGAAACTTACACTTCAGTTTTACAAGTCTGTGGAATTAAATTACATGTAACAGCTTTGGCATATCCAATACGATAATCCGGGTGATAATATTAAAATGTTTTTAAAAGAACTTGTTCAGTTGATGAAAACCTAGGGTACATTTTTGTGTGATGTGTTAGCATTATTTCTAGTTAGTAGGTTTTCTGTGACATCTATTCAGAAGCATCAGGTCCCTATATTAAACATAAAGTTGAGATATAAGGCTTTTGTTGTAGTTCTCAATTTACCTAACACTTTTTTTTTAAGCTTTTCCTTATATTTTGAAAAAAAGTAGCATTGTGGGTGTTACAGTTTTGCTACATTTTTGAGAAAATGCTGTGCATCATCCTCAAAGGAAAAAGTATCACTTTTTTAGTCTTGAGTTACTATTTTTACTTGGAAATAAGAACTAGTTAAAAAGCTAGAAGAACTGCATGTCCTAGAAGTTTAATATTAATTTGCTGATAAATGGACAGGAAGTAAAAGCGGAATTGTGTGTGGTTATGTCTCCTGAATGCAACATGAGTCATTGCTGCAAAGGGGGGACTTCTGATGCCCTCCCTTCTCTCTCTGTGTTTCTTACAAGCGCTGGTGCTTACGTAACCTGAGTATTAAAGCAGAGTGAGTAACTGCTTTAATTAGAAATTAACCTAAACAAACAAGTTGGTTTGCAGTGGGATTAGACCCTTGATCGATCTCGTTGCATTGCCACATCCAAGCTAACGCCAGCGTTAAAGAGGCAGTGGGGATGAGCTGCTGCAACAGGAGGGACTTTCAGGCACTTCTCTAACCAGCAGTATGGATTTCTGCGGCATTACGTTGACCGAAGTGACAGCCTCGTTGGTAGTTGAAGAGAGGATGTGACCCCCTGGATAGAGATAACTTTCTTCTGGATGTCATGAAAAAGAGTTGATGGAACCCACCTGCCAGAGCAGGATCATGTAGAGCAGGTTGCACAGGAGGGCGTCCAGGTGTGGGTTTCAAATGTCTTCAGAGTCAGACTCCACAACTTCTCTGGGCAGCCTGTTCCAGTCCTCTGTCGCCCTGAAGGCAGAGAAGTTCCTCCTCATGTTTAGGTGGAACTTCCTACATTCAAGTTTGTGCCTAGTGCCTCTTGTCCTGTCACTGGGCACCGCTGAAAAAAGACCGGCCCCATCCTCCTGACACCCACTCTTTAAGTATTTATAAGCATTGATAAGATCTCCCTAACAGTCTGTGATTTTTGTGAGATTTTGTGTGAATCGAAAGCCTTAGGTTGGTTTGATTTCTCATTTTTGCCATGTGGGCAGACCGCCACGTGCATTTTCCTATGCGAGGTTTTCTTGCTGCTTGTTCCAATGTGCTGAATTTCATAAGTAGCATGAAAACTCTAGCAGAGTATTACAAATAGAAAGCATATTGCCAGCATTAACCTTTGCTTTCTGTCTTTCTACATAGCTGTGTTTTGCTTGGATTCTCTTGACTACTTTTATTTAAACACTAGTATATACTATCTCTTTAAAAAGCCAGATCGATAGTTGCGTTATTTATTTATTTTAAATTGTTTGTAATGGGACAGTCTTTCAGAACTTTTAGGATAACTGGTGGAAGTCAGGCTCGATAGATATATCCAGCATATGTGTGTACACCTTTAGACAGGTGTGAACTCTGAAGTCTAGAACCTGAAGTTAAAAAACAACAACAACAACAAAACAAAACCAAGAAACTTCCCAAGAAATAAGGAAGACTGAAAAGGATCAATAGCAATGTGTGCTAAGTAGTGAGTGATGATACACCAGTATCCTGGCAGATTCCTCGCGCTGATTTGGAAAGAAAAGACACATTATGTCTGAGCTGGCATTCAAAGCACAATTTAACTCTGGTGGAGAGATAACTAACATATAGCACAGAAATAAACTTTCTTCTTGAGATAATCTGTTCTACTTATGTCCCAAGTGAAAAGTGTCTTTTTAAACAGAACTCCGAGGTAAAAGGATTATATTTTCTTCATGTTCTTTTAAACTTAGAGAGTTTTATTTCACAGCTATTAAACCCCAGAGCTTTTAAACTTTTTTTTTTCTTCTGAAAACAAAGAAGCTCTTAGTACATCTAAGGAGAAAAGGTCAAGACAAGTGAGTATGTGGTATTGTGGGAATGGGGAAATAGGTGGATGATGCTCTCCTGTTGCAGTTTGCTGTGAATCAAGTTGAACCTAAAACCAAAAAGCTGTGCAAGTTCGTTTTTTGCTTTAGCAGTATTGCTGAGAAAAGGCGTAAAAGGGACTCCTGATATATTTCTTCTCTTAATGCATCTAAAACTTGAATATGCAGTTATCTGACTGAAATGGCAAAGATTCTGTTCATTTAAAAATAGTCATATTGGAGATGTAAAAGCAGGGAGAATACAAGAAGTGAGTTGAGAATGCTTGCAGTTTCTCGAATTCCTGTTTGCCTTTTCAAGCTGATGGGTAAGCTTTTACATTAGTTTACTACATAGCAAGTGCTATGAAGGCAAAAGCAGCTGATAAACTTGCAGCTATTTAAGTGCAGGCGTGTAAGAGGCCAAATATATTGTTAGATTTTCCTGTTTCTGACTTGTCAACTTTCCATCTGCCAACATGGGCTTGCCTGAGAAGCCAGGGTGAGTTGTGTGTGTCCTGTGTGTGGTTCCAGAACCTGCATGGAGTTTTCTTCGCTTCATCTTAGAGACAGATTTGGAAGGTTTCTTCTCAAAAAGACAGATGTTGTCTTCAGGTTCATAATGAAAAAAATGAAGGGTGGATTGTTATTTGAAAATTAATGGAGTACAGTTTGGAGTAACGTACAAGTGTGCCTCAGTTTATCCCATACCTGGCCTAAATTGGTGAGCAAGACCTTCTTAGCATCTTGGTATGGCTGAAACTTTGTTTTTAGCGGAGAGAAGTGTTGAACTATGGGGTCAAAGTGGCAAATAGAAGGAGGTGGTAACATGGCCAGAATTTTAGGATGGTAAGAAAGTAGTTGCATAGAGTTTTATCATTCCTTTTTTTGTCCTCCACCAGATTTGGAAACAATTACACTTTTCAAGATGAGAGAAATTTGTAACATTTGGAATATGAGAAGGGCGTTTTTACAGTTTCGGTGTGATGATACATTTGTGGGCCTCCAGAGTATGGGTGAATTATTGTCTCCTGTGACAAATACAGGTGAAAGGAGCCTTCAGAAAGGGAATTCCAGCTGTGGTATCCCAGTGGTTGTCAGAGTAGATTGTTTTTTCATGGCTGGAAGCATAAAGGAGCTCTCAATGGGAGCATCCATGGTAGGAAAAGCAAAAGAGCAGAATTTTTTTTTTTCACTTATCAACCTAAGAATGTGATGTGAACCTGTTCTGCAGGTAAACAAGGATCAGCAAAACTAGGCTTTGGGGTTTTCAGGAAAGAAATGGCTACTTAAGTAATGAGAGGTGAAGACTGAAGATAAATGAAAGTCTGGCAGGCAAAATGGGCAGCATTGAGGAACGAGAAGAGTGGAAGGTGAAAACAGGGAGGATGGGGGTTCCCAGGCCAAGAAAAATACGGGGAAACATTGCCTAAAATGTTCGATGGCAAATAAAATGTTGTACTCAACTTCTGTGGGCAGTATTTCTAAACAGCATAATAGATGAAATCTGTGATATAATACAATTACTTTTATTCTCTTCTGGCCTTCTAGTCATTTATTTGCTACTTAGACTTTCTTAGTCCACTCATTCAGTTTGAAATGATTTTAGCAAATAGTAAGCAGGTTGTGTTGTCTCACTGAGAATTTTTTGAAGCCTCAAGTTATAAAGGTGGCATTATGTGTGGAAGTGTTGAAAAGCATCAGAACATTGTGATTTTTTTATTATTATTTTGCCTGTGTACTTTTTATACATGTGTGCATATGCTTTTGTCAGGCATCAGTAGATGCAATCTCCTTTTTAAGGGCTGTAAGATTGGATGGTCCTTGGGCGCATATGTACAAGACAAATGTGAGAATATTAAAAAATATTATTTCTTACAGCTTTGAATTTTGTATGTCGAGAAGCTTCTGTTTTGTACACTTGTGGTCATAACTGCTTTTTCTCACAGTCCACTCCCAAGTCTGTTAAGGGCAGCACCAAGAAGGAGGGATCAAAAAGAAAGATCAACATGAGTGGGTACATCTTATTTAGCAGCGAGATGAGAGCTGTGATTAAAGCTCAGCACCCAGACTACTCCTTTGGAGAGCTCAGCAGGCTTGTAGGAACTGAATGGAGAAACTTGGAAGCAACAAAGAAAGCAGAATATGAAGGTAAATAAAAACTAAGATGATAAACTCTTCTGCTTTTTCTTCTTTCTCAATGCATTCATTACTGTTATTCAGATGACAGGTTTATTAAAAGAAGATATTTATGTTTGTGTTATGGACATCTCTTAAGAGAAGTTCATATTGAGAGATGACTGAAGAAGAGCAAAGAACATGTTTAAGTTACATAGTGCACAACTGGTAATTTAAATGTCTTTGCCACGAATTACCAAATGAATAAAGACCAAGAAAATGGGGACAAATTAGAAGTAAAGGGTGAAGCCCCTGGGCTGGAGTTCAGTTGGAGAAATGGTTTCTGAAAGTTTTCTTAAAGGAGGACTGGGGGGAATTTTGGACAAGAAACTCTTCAGAGCTGTAGCAGAAGGTAAGAAGGTTTACAGCGGAGCGGGAAGAAGTTCTTTGGTTAACAGTGCTTAGAGTCCTAAAAAGCTCTGGTAGATTAAAATGAAGGATGCAGAGTCTGTTATGATACTGTGAATGTGACCTGTTATTCAGTCTCAGTGTTAATCAACAGTTGTAACTAATTTTGTTGAGAGGTTTCATATCCTGAAGTAAGCTTAGGAATATTTCATAGACATGAGATGCTTCAGACCTCTCTTTCTCTCTCTTCTTCCCTCGTTCTTCCCTGTTCTCCCGCTTCTTCCCTCTTTCTCGCCCGTTCTCCCTCCCTCTTTCTCCCTCATTCTCCTTCTTCCTCCCCTGGTCTCCCCTTCTGCCCTTCTGATATTGGTCATTGTGTTTCAACTTTATTTGATTAAAATGAAACATAAATGATTCTTAAAAGCAAGCCCGTATCCACGCAAAGTACATAATTATCACTTTAGTTAATAATGTGTCAACACTTCCAATATAAACATTTTTTTAAAGCAACTGTTGCAGTTTTGTTCAAAGAAAATGCTGGTTTGCATAGGAAAGTTTCAACACCCTGGAAGGTTATTGCCCAATTAAGTTACAACTTATTTTACTTTTTAAAAATGAGTTTTGATAGGTTTTCTGCATACTCATAACTTAAAGGCAGCTTTGATCTTCAACACGGAAGTTTGCATGCTTTCAACTCTCAGCCGCCTCACTCCTTTCTGATTTTGCAGTACTACCTCTTTGCAATTCTGGAGAGAAATATAGCACCACTCAGCTGTGTGCAAGTTTTCTTTGCAAATGCTGTTAAGGGAACTGGTAATGATCTTTCTTCATGAAAGTACTATGGCCTTACTTTTTTTTCCCATTGTAGTTTCCTTTTACACCCATGTAGGTGCATGTGGTATCTTTTTATTGACAGATCCCTCCTTACAGCCTAATTCTTAAGTAGTAGGATGGCTTGCGTGTCATCGCTTCCTAGCTTAGAGCAGCTTGATGTCTTGCACTTCTGCAGGAAGACATAACTGTCACGTTACGGTAGGAACAGTGTCTGCCCACTGTGTTAATGATTGCCTATGTGCTTTGATTTTAATCCTCTTTCTCAAGTAAATTTGCCAAAACTTTTGTGTTTTGGGTGGCAGTTTCTCTGGCACGGTGTCTGCCCAGAACTAGACCTACTTTTATTTGGTTTTGAGAGGTTGGGTTGGGGTTACAAAGTGTCCAAACTGTGTTTGCTTACCATGTGTGAAAGGACGGACGCTCTTTCCACTGTGACAAAATTCACATGTTCTCTAGTGTGGACATTCACCAGCGAGCAGGGAACAGGCATGGTTTGACACCTCAGTGAAAAAGTGCATTTCCATGTTCTGGTGAAAAGTAGTTCGCATTTTGACCCACTTGACATTTTGTTTGGTGTATGTGCAGGGTAGCAGTTGGGTTTTTCAGCAATAGTTGAGCAAAGAACAGGCTGTGTTGGAAATGCCTGCATGGCTAACTGCGCTGTGAAAACTCTTCAAAATAAAATGAGATGGTTGCATGGGCTTGAGGTAAAGGCCTATTTTAAGAAAGCTCTGTTCAAAGCAGAAGGTCTCTTTCCTGTCTCTTGAGGTGTCTTGGAAGTGTTATTTGAATGATCTCAAGTCCTGGCCTAAACAATTTGAGTTTAGTATGAAGTGTTAACGTGAATGCTCAAGGCTGACCTTTTAGACACTTGCTGCAGTTCCCTTTGGCAGCTTTGGTTCATTTGTTAATGCCATGACTGTCACAGCATGGGTGGAGACTAGTAAAACTCAAGTACTCTCCTGTGTCTGGTCCTTCTTCAAAGCTCAGCATTGAAGTCTGATAAAGCTGAATGCTTACCAGTAATTTCTCATTCATCAGAGTGTCTCCAGAACTTTTGCTTTTGTCCAACCATTTTTTAGCTGGCCGAAAGTGGGTGAGAATCAAAAGAGCTGTTTCATCTCTCCCCTAGATGCTTGCTCTGCTCTGAAGAGAATTATCTCATTTTTCTACTTCAGGATCTACCTTTAAATGTCTTCTGTATTTTGTGCTCAATCACATAAAAGTTGCCTGTAGTAAATTCAGGAGTTTCTGTGCGTCGTCATCTCTTCCTGAAATGACTGAAGGAAAAAGATGGAAGGGCATGTCTTTGGAAATGGTCTTTCAGTGTGTGGAAATAGTGCTAGAAGCTGCACAGACAGTTTCTGCAGGAGACAAATGCATGATAGACATTTGAAGTCATGTACTAGAAAAAACAAGTAACGTTGGCAGGATGCTCAGTTTAATCTCTTTGATGAACTTCTTCTTAGCCTTTGTTTGGCAGAGGACCTCAATTGCTGTTTTAGTTGCAGTTTTCGTCTTTCATCAACTGCAGGAGAACTTCTGACCCTGCACTCACTGTTATTAAAATATGCTGGAGGTATATGCTGCATTCCTTTATTCTTTGTTGTTCCTCATTGTGTCAGTCAGATACAACATTTAGAGTAAGCAAATCAGCAACTTCCATGCCCCCAAAGCATCTTGAGTGGGCATTCAATATATCTCCTTTTGTTGTTGCTTGGATTTTAGTTTTTTTTCTTTTTTTCTTTCCATGACCCTTTGCCTTTCCCTTAATATAAAATTGTCCTCTGGTCAGATTCCCCTGCAATAGATCTTTTATTCTTGCAATCACAGTGAGAAACTTGACTGAGATAATGACCAGATTCATCGTACAAAGGACACACATGGCCTCCAGTGAGCAGCACAATGTGAGTTAGACATCTACAGAAAACCAAAGTCAAACCAAACAAACAAAAAATAAGTCCCACAAACAAAACAACAACAAAAACAAAAACCAACCAACCAACCAAAAAAAAAACCAACTCAAAGGGGACCAAACAGGGAAAATGACAGAGGCAGAAAAAAGTATTTTTTGGTTCATCAAACTGCTGCTTGTTATGTTCCAAACACTAAGGACCTATCTACACTAGGGAAACTTTGCAAATGCTTCCCAACTTTGCCAGCACTTTTCAGCTTCATCAGCAGTAAAATCTGCGAGGATGCCAGGAATAAATGGGCCACCGCATGGGACTGCTCTCTGCTACCCGCATCTTACTTCAGGCCACGTCTGGCAGCCGTGGTGCTTAAAATTCACACAGCAGCTGGTAGCAGATCTTTGTGAGAGCTGCTGGCCTGGGCTGCAGCTGGCTTAGCTGAGCCAGTGGTGTCAAAAGAGGGAACGTTTTGCCGTGTTTTCCTAGTGCGGACTGAGCCTAGTGCTGGACTGCTGCTTCATGTTGGTAACACTGGTGTTATTATCAAATTTGTTCTTTGACTTTTAAAAATTTTATTTTATTATTTATTTTAATTTTTTTTAGAAAGATAGAACTTTGTGGGATATTTTTCATGAAAGGTTCTCTAAAAGTCTTAGCTGCAGCCACATGAAATCAAATCATATGCTGTATAAAAAGATTCATCTGTTCTACTTTTATATTTGACTAAACTATGCCAGTGTTTGACTAGTCCTTTTTAATGAACAGATAATATTTTGAAATTCTGGGTTACAAAACAGAACTGAAAATCTAAAATACTTTTACAGAGCGGGCAGCTAAAGTTGCTGAGCAGCAGGAGAGAGAGCGAGCAGCACAGCAGCAGAATTCCTCCCCCCGGGCAGGCACTCCTGTCGGGGCTCTTATGGGGGTGGTGCCGCCACCAACACCAATGGGAATGCTCAATCAGCAGTTGACACCCGTTGCAGGTAAAACGTAGGAGCTATGACCATTTTTTCCTCATCCACTATATCAACCCCCTTCATAACTCTGAACACTCTCTTGGGTCACTGTGATCTTAAGGAAGAAAAAGCTCAACCTCTTCAGTCTTTCTTCATGATAAATATACATAACCGCAGTGGTAGCCTGGTAGTCCCGTGTTACTTGCTCCAGTAGTTAAAAATGCAGGGAAAAAGGGTTCTCCTTGTGCAGTGGTCCTGTTCTGGTTGTGTGCAGTCGTGTTTATTCATTCTACTTTGCAGAGTACATGTTTAGCCCCGCTATGGCAGGAGGGGAGCGAGCTAAATACTCTTCTAGTGCATGCAGAGTCAGTGGAAGTGGTAAAGTAGGAGGCAAATTATTTTAGTTTTTTTAGTGCCAGAAGAGGCAAGCAGAATCCAAACTGGGTTTTAAATCGAAGTAAAAGCTTTTCAGAATGGCCTGTTAGATGCTGATAAGCAGGGGAGACTAGGATCGAGAGCCATTGCAGAAACAAACTGAAACACCACTGTTGCTAGTTTTATCAGGTGATTTTTCAGAATGGAACTGAGCCTTGAGAGCTCTGCCATGAAGTTGGTGTTGTGCTTGTTACTAGTTGTAATCTGACTTGAGTCCACAGGGAGTGTGCTTGAAGTAAATATTTTCAGGATCAGATCTGAAGACAGTGTAGACACCAGAGATTCTTGTATGGGCATCAGCCATATGTTGGTGAGAAAATGAATTAGATATGACCCTCTAAGTTGTTTTCTTTCCCCTATTTCTAATTAAAAGAATGAGATTACTTCAGTAAAGGTCAAAGCTGTGCTGAGTAGACAAAAATGAGTATTTGGAAGGGTTTTGTTTTGAGTTCTGGGAGTTTTTTTAACTTTCCCTTAAGGCATTCCAATTATTCCATTTATTCTTTTGTCATTTTTCCTTTTTTTTTTTTTTGTTTTCCTGTCTCACAGGCTGTGGCCATAATTTAGACCTGACAGTCTGAAGTCTTTTTTCATCACGGTCTCTAAATCTCTTTTCAGTAACTAGGCTGCATGGATGTTTATACTGAAGGCACATTCTGTATTTGATTCATGGTCTCCAGATTACAAAGCATTTGTTTATGCTGAGTTGCATTTTTTCTTTTTTTCACTTTGTTCTTGATAATTTCCTCTTAACTGTTTGCACTTGGTGTGTGTTTGTGTGTGTACACAAATCTGTGCATATATTAAAAAAAAGGGGGGGGGAAGAGTTCTCCAGTGCTGATCTCTTTTGTGAATAACCTACTTCAGTGTAGAATATGTAGAAACATCATCCTCTTGTCGTTGTCTTTTCTTGGTTTGGTTCCCGGGGTTTTTTTGGCATTGAGTCACTTTCCCAAAATTTGGAGGTAGGTGTTGGTGTGCAGTAATAGTTATTATTAACACTTTCTTAAAACTTCTCAAAAACTGTGCATTCTGCAATCTACACATGCTGACATATTTCCTGTGGCTGTCTCCTCAAAAACAAACCTGTATTTAAGACCATCATCCGTTTCCAGCAGTTAGATATTCCAGTCTCTTCACTTCGGCGTTGTGAAATACTTTCTTAAAGCAGATGGTCAAACAGATCTTTTAAAACTCTTTCTATTTTTGTGGCCCATTTGAAAAAAGTGTCTTTCATCTTTTGGTTTCCGCAAGTCTTCCTTAGAAGTTTCTTACTCTGTTGAGAACTCTTCCACATCCTCCTCCATCGTTTGATTGCTTTTCTGTAGTTCAGAGAACTTCTCCATCGCAGAAGTTCGCAGAATTGCTTTATGGCCCCTGGATCCAAGAAATCTGGTTGCCTTCTGAGATGCATTTCTTTTAGTGTGCAGCACTCTAGTTTCTTCTAAATGTAGGCATTACAAAAATTTATTTCATTTTACATTGTTACAGTAAAAGAGAGAACAAATAACTTGAAAGACGTCATAAATCACAGCTGTGGGAGGTGGAAATAGTTTGCCCATGGGTTCTAGTTTAAAATCAAAGTAGTAACTCATACACAAGGTATGAAAGTGGCTGCTTTTATAACCATCTGATGAGCTACATCAAATCTCGTGGAGATTTGGTTTGATGACAACTTTAATAATAGAGACAGTTATTGAGTATTTTATTTGGAAATATACAGAAGAGCTATCATGATTGACAAATGTGGGTTTGTTTCATTGGAGGTTTTTTGTTTTACTTGCTTTGAAGCTTCAGAAATGTATGCAAATTCATTGAAGATGTGATTGCTGCTCGGGCTACACTGCAAGTACCAGGCAGTAGCTACAGTGAAAGCCTTTTATTCTAGGAATGCTTTTGTTTTCCTTCTTTTACTTTTTCCAGTAGAAATATGGATTACACTGTTAATAAAGAAGTACAGATGAGTTTACAAATATTTTAAATAGGAACCTGAGACCTATTTAATAAGTGTCTGTTTAGGTGTCCTGTGGAAAGTGAAGGTTTGAGGAAGATGAGTTCTTTATTTTCTCGTTGGAATTTCGGGTTTCTCACTTTTGTAACTCTTTCTGAGGAAGTGACAAATTTTGCTTGTGTTTTGGAGCTGCTTGACCTATGTCAATCCTGAGCTTGTGACAGCGTTGTTTTCAGTCAGAGCTGGTGTGAGTTTTTGGCCAGTATTATTCGAGAAATCCCGATTCTGAAAGTTTCTTTTATGAGTTACAGGGAGTGTGGCAAAGACTCAGTAGGTGGTTTCTTGGAACAGACTACAGAAGCCTCAGTGATTTTGCATTTCTAAACTTTACCTCATCTCTCTAGACTTGCTTCTGTCCTCTCTCATCTTTTCATTGTCTTTCCAACCTCTTTCCTTGGCTACCTGACAACACATGCGTTTAAATTAAAAAGCCTAGAAAACAGGCGAGGGACAAGCAAGTTACATTTCAGGACGGAAAAAACATTGTGCAGTCATATTGTATAGGTTCACCTCATGGATAGCAGCAAACCTGAGCCGAAACCAGAATAAGCTCTGAGTTGTCTTCACTCACATGCAGGAAACTAAAGTTGCGAGCAGCACCACAATACTGTCTTTGTCATACCATTGATTTTTTCCATAAAGGAACCTTGAAAACATTATCAGTGAAATTCTGTGAGGGACTGCAGGTGCCCCTTCTAAGACCTTTTACTTCAGTCTAGTGCTGTGAGTGTAATTCACTGCAGCCCAGCACATCCAGTGCTGTCAGGTTTAAAATCTGAGTTCCTTGCTTTAGTCTGGAGATGGTTTACTGAAAATCACTCCTGTCACTGCCATTGGTTTCAAGTATGTGGATGTCATAGGGCATTTTTGTGTTAATTTTGCATATACGCTGCAGAAAAATGTACAAGTTCTTATTTTTGTTCCAGTTGGGTTGGGTCTCTGAGCTAGCCCACATAGCAGGGCTGTATGTGGAGCTCGTGTAGTTAGTGTGGTGTTCGGGATCTGTATGCAGATGGCAGAGCTTTAAGCTGTATTAAAATTGCTTGCGTTGGTAACATTTAATTGTGGCTGAATTTATTCCTTGCGTTAACATATTTGAATATTCAGCATTTATTGCCCTGTGAGAAACACACAAATACACTAAACACTAATTCATCAAAAGTATAGTGTTTCATATTTATAACTTTTTTTATTTTTCATTTTTGTTCATTTTTGCAAGATACTAATTGTAGTATCGTCTTGCTGTACTAAAGATGCTTTTTTTTTTTCCTTTCTTTTATGGATAGTGCATGTCTTACTGTGTAGATCATATTGCATGTTATTGATGCATGTTTGAAATTTGTTGTCCTTCAAGGCATGATAAGTGGCTATCCACCGGTGCTGCCACCTTTGCAGGGCCCAGTTGATGGCATTGTTAGCATGGGCAGCATGCAGCCACTTCACCCAGGGGTGCCCCCACCCCACCAACTTCCGCCAGGTATGCCAGGCATCCCAGGCATCCCACCACCCGGTAAGAATGTCATCCTCATTTGCTCCTTGTTTCATTTTCATGTACTTGCTGTTTAACTAGTTGTTACAGGAATGATCTGCCACTTGGTTCGGTCGGAGCTTTTGTTTCTGAACAGTTGCAGGTGTGTTTAGCCGCAGCGCACACAAGGCACTGCCGAATGTATGAGGTATGCACAAAACGTTGACGGAACAGCACGTCCAGTAAACCAGCAGGGAAGGGTTACTGGAGGAACATAACGCTGCTCCAGCAGTAGTTTTAGTAGTTTTGCTCCAGCCAAAAAACGTGAGGATTGTGCTTGAGTTTAGAGTTCTGAAAAGCTGAAATCAGCCTATTCATATCCTTATGTCATTTGAACAACATCCTTCCATTCCTCCTCTCCTTATTTTAAGTGGCCTTTTAAATGAACGTGATTGCTCTCATTCCTTACCGAGCTCTTTTTCAGCATGTTGGTGTTTATCAGCAGTCAGGCTGTACTTCAGTGCGCCTGGACATGTAAAACCCCTTGGCCACTGTGACATGGATGTGTGTTCAGATTAAACCTTGTTGATAGAAGAGTAACTGGAAACAGTGAGGTGAACTCAGTATACTATTGTGGCCAAGTTTTAAATTGATTTTTGAGAGCATATCTACTGCACGTTTGCTATTTTTTTTGCCATGCTTTTGGTGAAGAAGCTGAATGAAACATAAACATTTTTCCAGTGTTAACACCATTAAAATGTCCACATTATGGGGAAAAATGTTCGTTTTCCCTATAATCCTGTTCTATGGTGATTCTTAGTTGTTACCTCTGATAACTTGTGTCTGTCTAAGAAACGTGCATCCCATATGTTCAGCAGTTAAACAAGCTGTGGACAAAGGCGGTCTCATTTACCTCCCCCTACCCCACTTGCAACTGTTAGAAGCTCTGTTAAAACTTTTATCTGTATGTAAGCTAAGTTGGTTTGCTTTTTTTTTGTTTGCTTGGGTTTTTTTTACTTTAAAATCCATCAGTATTAGGTGTGTGCAGCTTGAAGCTTCACTGGTGTGTAAGATTCGCCATAATGCCACATAGAGGGAGTAGGAAGACAGCTGCGTGTCCCTGAGCCTGTCCTCCACTCACCAAGGCAGTGACATTTAGCACGCAGCAGCAACGTACAAATATTTGGGAGGTGAATCCAGAACAACACATTTTCTTGGAGAGTTTTTCCAACTGGAGAAGCGGGCTTGTGTGTATAGTGTTTAAAACTGAGAGCATATGGATTAGGGAAAAAATAATGCCTGGGAATGGAGGTCCACATGTGAAGTGGTGCTATATCTGACTGGGTGGGCTCTGATGCTGGACAGGTGAGGGTGCCCTCTTCACTTTCTACAAAAAACCCACGATAAATCTGTGCCATATTCCACAACTTGTATTGTCAGTGTTTTTCCCAATTTCTGACTTGCTGTTTGTACAGATGCACCTAAAACGGGGGCTGTGATCAAACGGAAAATGCAATCACAATACGCTTTAGTGTGCAAAATGCAGTGGCACATCTGATCGCTGAGTCAGAGATCTGCATGCAAATTAAACCCTCGGGAAGAGCATAGTTAGTTTGCAGCTTTTCCAAAGAATGAATATGAGAAGTGGCACAAACAGAAAGAAAAGTAGCAGCACACATAACTTTCATTTTTTTCTGACCAGAACATCTGTAAAATATCAGGAACTGCATGACTCTCATTTAGATCTCTGAATTTTTGTGTCTAAGGCTGACATAGACGTTTTCTGCTGCACTCTGAGCAATAGGGAGAGGTTTTTATTTTCTGAAATTTATTTCAAATGTTTATCAGTCTTATATAGAAGACGATTTAAGCTTAACCTGCAACCTGCATTTTATGTTAGTGAGATCTTACAGAATTTGTGCAATGGCTTTTGTTTCTTCTTGCTGTGAATGTATATTATAAAACCGAACACAAGGAAATGTTAAATGTTGCTAAAGCAAATCAGCATTTCCTTTCTTAAAGGATTTCAGGCAGATCCTACCAAGTCAAAGGTGTATATTATAAATTAAAAGATGTAGTCAGGCAATCACTGAGTAATGGAAAAAATCTGGAAAACAAATGATTCACTTTGCATTTCTCTAATTAAGTTAATTCAACAGGACGTGCATCAATGTTTGGTAGTTATATAGGTGCTCTTCTTTCATTCAGAAGTTTACAAACTGGGAATTTTAATGGGGGAGAGGGGCATATTTGAATGTTGTACATTTGCTTAAAATAACTGTGGGCAATGATCTCAAAATATAAATTCTTACTGTAGAAGACCAAAGAGGTATTTCTCATTGCTCTGAAATAAGACCTATTATTTTATGTTTTGGAATATAGGTGTTATAGGCCAAAATGTGTCCCCCATGGTAGGCACTCCAGCACCAGGAGCAAGTCCTTTTGGACAGCAGGTGAGTCATTTTTGCATTATTTATGAGGCTCTAAGGCTCTGAATTAGCATTTGAACAACATCTCAGTTCAGACGTGTAGCCTTTCCCTGGAGAACATAAACCCAAATATACATTGATGTATTTAGAACCAGTTACTATCTTACACTCAGAATATGTGTCTATTTGTTGGCTGAATTGTTATTAGACTAATTAGGTTCTGCCCACTGGGATAACTTCTCTGCAGTATAAGCAAGGCAGTGTTTTGTTTTGTTTTGTTTTCCTTCTACTAAACTGACTCACTTCAACACACTGTTAAAGTGCTGATAATTTAGATTTTGCATGCTTTGATGTTGCAGAGATGATTCTGTCCACTTTCTCAGCTGTTGATGAATGGGTAAAAACTGTTTAGTTTGCTCCCATGTTTTCCACACTGATGAAGCAGATGTTCAGCAGCAGTTCAGAATTTGTGAGTTTGGATAATAGTGATTAGTAGAAATTAAGTGTTCAGCACACTTCCAATTTTAGTGACTGAATTTTTCATCATAAAGAGAAATGTAATTTTGGCTGGAAGGATGTAAAGAAAACCAGAAGTCAAGTGAGAAAGTGGTAAAGTGTATATGTTGTGACATTGAGTTATTCCAGACCACAGGATATCTGCGCTAAAGAGTTCTCAGTACTGCTACTTAATCACAATGCTGGGAATTCTTCTCTGTGACTGTGATTTATTTTTATTTTTTTATCTGCTTGCAGTTTTTGCCCAACAGCTATTAGTATTTATTCTGTGGAAGTATTCCAGTCATCCAAGGATCGGGGTCAATTTTGATTAGATGTTTTAGAAATAAACAGTTTCTGATCAAATTAGAGAAAGCATGAAATAAGCAGGAAGCAAAGGGAGTAATTAACGTTAACAGGAGAGAGGAGAAAGGGTGACGGTAATCAGAGTATGTTTGCATAGGTTAGAAATATGAAAAATGTTTGTCTCTTAAGTATGAATATGGGTTGTTTGCCCTTCTCTCTCTGTGCATCTCAGTGACCCCAACAGATAGCCCCAGCTGAATGCATCTCCAGGGAAATTTTCTTACGCCTTTGCTCATAACATGTTTTGAAGCTCCACTGCATTAGGACAACCTGACACAGAGATGCGAAGCAGCTTCCTTGCAGCTCCCCGAAATGTGATCTCTCTGTGGCTCTGTCATTGCAGATAGGAATCCTTGGCCCGCCGGGACAGCAGGCACCCCCTCCGTACCCCGGCCAGAGCCCAGCAAGTCAGCCGGTTATGCAGCAGCCCACAACTCCCATGTTCGTCTCCCCTCCACCAAAGACACAGAGGCTTCTTCATTCTGAAGCATATCTGAAATATATCGAGGGGCTTAGTGCTGAATCAAATAGTATTAGCAAGTGGGACCAGACCCTTGCAGGTAAGGCTTTGGATGCAGAGCGGAATGTTTCCATGCAGAACACGCTTCCTCACAACCATTAATATTTTTTGCTTTTATGGAAAATGCTGAATAAATTTGCTGCTTACTTAATAAAATGTACACATGGAAGTAATTGTTAAAAACAAATTAACGGACTGGGATTATGTGTGTTACAAGCAGGCTAATGCCATCAGTGTTGCATTAAACTAAGAATCATTTCGATGGTCTTACATACAAGGGGTAAAAACGATGCTGTAGAATTATATTCACCTTGTTCTGGAAAAACTGTGATGAGTATCAAAGCTGGTAGATAACTGGACCATTTCTTGACCTTCCAGCACGAAGACGAGATGTCCATTTATCAAAAGAACAAGAGAGCCGACTCCCTTCACACTGGTTGAAAAGTAAAGGGGCTCATACCACAATGGCTGATGCGTTATGGCGACTGCGAGACTTGATGCTGCGCGACACCCTTAATATCCGTCAGGCATACAACATAGAAAATGTTTAGTTGCATAATTGCTTCTTTCTTTGATACCGGCGTATAAGGAGTTTTGTGGAACAATAGCTGTTTAGTTACTGGGTGGGAAGAGATAACCGACAATAATTTGTATTGCATTTTACTGTACATTGCAAGACCATTTTTATATAAGGACACTTTTAATAAGCATATTTCACTTTTTGTTATATTAAGTTGACTTTATGAAATACACGGATTTTTGCATATGTTTCCTTTGTTTGAAAGGCGATTTCATAATTGGTTAAGTGTAGTCAAGGATTCATCTTTCTTATACTTTATTGCTGAGAATCTGATGCCATTGTTTTTATATAAAAAAAAGAAAAAAGAAAACAGAGTATTTACAGATTGATAACAGTGGAATGTGAAATTAGTCATAGTTTACATCTTAGAAGTATGTGTGTACATGTGCTTGTGTGTGCTACCCACTTCTGGCAGAAATCTCGCTTGGATGTGAACAGGGAGGATCTCTTAAAAGAAGTTGAAGGTAAGATGTGCATTGACGCTAGGGAAAAATGACATTTGAAGTCAATACCGAGGCAGCTGAGTGGGCCACAGCAGCCATGGGAGCACTGGTGTGGACGGGACGAGGGTGTTTTGACTGCTAATGTTGTCCAGTCCTGTCCAGTTCCTGAACTGTGTAGCCAAGGCCATTGTGATCCTAAATCAGTAGTAGAATACATGTGCTGGCGTGCCCTTAGAAAGTGAAATGTTTTGTCTGCCGTGACCTGCTTTGGGGGTTCTGTGATGTCCCTAACACTGACCAGTGGGAAGGGGCAGCTTCCTCCCCGAGCGATCTGTCCGCTTGTGGGAGAGGCATGCAGAACTTCAAACTAGTTCAGGTCTCGGAAGGTAAGTTAGAGGAGTGGAAAAGTTGAGTTGGTTTGTTAGCGAAGTGACATGATGTTTCTAAATTCGTACATATTCTGTTAACGGTTGGGCATTGTGAGACATGTTTGTATGCTTTCTTTAAGTGTATTGTTTCACCTTCATGAAAGTTGAGAGAAATTTGACACAACTTGATAGTAAAATACTACTGTATGGTATGTGTGAGTTCAGCCTATCTAGTACGCTGGAGAAATAGAGTACTTTGACTGCAGCCTTCAGAGAGTTTGGGGTTTTTTTTCTGGTTTTGTTTTCTTTTTGTGAGCTAATTAAGGTAGGTATAGACTCTTGCCAAATTTCAAGCTTGTGACTGCCTTCTGTAAGAGGTGATGGAGGATGCAGAGATGGCAGAATTGCTGAATGCCTTCTTAGCCTCAGTCTTTACTCCTAAGACCAGCCTTCAGGAATCCCAGTCACTGGAAGTAAGGGATCAAAACTGGAGGGACGAAGACTCTCCACTGGTCAGTGAGGATTGGGTTAGAGACCTCTTGGAGAAACTGAAAACGCACAGATCTGTGGGCCCTTATGAGGTGCATCCAGGTGTGCTAAGAGAGCTGGCTGATGTTGCTGAGCCCCCTCTCCATCATTTCTAAAAAATCATGGAGAACAGGGGAGGTGCCTGAGGACTGGAAGAAAGCCAGTGTCAGTCCAGTCTTCAGAAAGGGCAAGAAGGAAGTCCTAGGCAACTACAGTCCAGGAAAGGTGATGGGGTAGCTCATTCTGAAGGCCATCTCTAATCAAATGGAAGAAAAGAAGGATATCAGGAGTAGCCAGTATGGATTTACTAAGGGGAAATCTTGCTTGACTAATATGATAACCTTCTATGAAAAGGTGACCAAATGGGTAGATAAAGGGAGAGCAGTGGGTGTCCTATGCCTTGACTTCAGTAAGGCTTTTAACACTGTCTCCCATAACATCCTTGTAGGAGAACTTAAGACATGTGGGGTAGATGATTGGACTGTGAGGTGGATTGATAACAGGTTCAACAACAGAGTCCAGAGGGTGGAGTTCAGAGGGTTGTGATTAGTGGGACAGAGTCAAGTTAGAGGCCTGTGGCCAGTGGTGTTCCCCAGGGATCAGTACTGGGCCCAGTTTTGTTCAATGTCTTCATCAATAAGTAGAGTGTACCGTCAGCAAGTTCGCTGATGATACAAGGCTGGGAGGGGTGGCTGACACACCAGAAGGCTGTGCTGCCATCCAACGAGATCTAGACAGGCTGGAGAGCTGGGCGAAGGTGAAGCTCATGAAGTTCAGTAAGGACGAGTGTAGAGTCCTGCATCTGGGGAGGAAAAACATGAGGCACCAGTACAGATTAGGGGTCACCCTGCTAGAAAGCAGCCCCATGGAGAAACCCCTTGGAGTCCTAGTGGACAGTGAGTTGTCCATGGGACAGCAATGTGCCCTTGCGGCCAAGAGGGCCAGTGGGATCCTGGAGTCCATTAAAAAAAGTGTGTCCAGCAGGTCTAGGGAGGTCCTCCTGGCCCCTCTACTCTGCCCTGGTGAGACCACACCTGGAATACTGTATCCAGTTTTGGGCTCCCCAGTTCAGGAGAACCAGACACCTACTGGAAAGAGTCCAGTGGAGAGCTATGAGGATGATTAAGGGACTGGGACATCTCTCTGTTGAAAAAAGACAGAGAGAGTCTGAGAAAGACTGAGAGAACTGAGGCTGTTTAGTTTGAGAAGGCTGAGAGCGGATCTTATTGATGTGTATAAATATCTGAGGGATGGGTGTCAAGAGGAAGGGACCAGTCTCTTTTTGGTGGTGCCCAGTAATAGGACAAGGAATAACGGGTGCAAGCTAGAACATAGGAAGCTCCACCCCAACTTGAGGAGAAACTTCTGTACTGTGAGGGTGATGGAGCCCTGGCACAGGCTGCCCAGAGAGGGTGTGGAGTCTCCTCTGGAGCCTTTCAAACCCCGCCTGGACGTGTTCCTGTGTGGCTGTCCTGCTCTGGCAGGGGGGTTGGACTGGATGATCTTTCGAGGTCCCTTCCAACCCCAAACATTCTGTGATTCTATGATTCTGCTAAAGACTTGCCTGTCTTTATAACTAACCAACCTTTTGGACTGCAAAGTTATTTGTTTAAAAGTAAATGCTTTCACGTATTTAATTTTAAATAAAAAGAATATTTTTGAGTTGCATTAAATAACTGGGAAAAATTGTTGGCAGGAACATGGTGACTGCAACTCAGTCCAAAAGAACTGATTTACTGATACACTTCATCTTATTGCTAGAGGTGTTCATCATGTGGAAAATGTTTTTTAAAGTCTAATAGCACAGAATATTTGTATCTGAGTACATCTGGCAGAAGGTTAAATATTTTTCTTCCAGTGCTGGATATCTTGCATTCTGTTTTGCTGGTGTAATTAATACTGATGAGGGAAGTGACATGTGCAAGTATGAACTGTTATTTAATTTTCCTGGCTAATTCCTCTCCCTCTCCTATTGCAATCCTCCAGTCATTGCATAGAAAACCATGTAATTACAAATAGGCACTTAAGGACAGTTTAGGTCAAATGTGCAATTGATGTGAAGAAAACAGAGCTAAGCAACCTATAGGGGAATAACAATTCTGAATTCTACAAGTAGCACACCTGTGGTACAGAAATTCTTTACTGGACTTTGTAAATGACCAAGTTTATTAAATAAAGTAGAAACCGAATAGTCTTAGGCCACCCCCATATATACAGCATCATCTTAAAATGTGTTTAAATTATCAGACTTTGCAATTTTTAGCCACAAAGACGGGATGATGAAGCGAATCAGGCAGCAAATCCTAGTTTTTGAGTGTCAGAATGGATTGTACTAATACACCACCAGATTCTCCTACTTTTCAGCATTAACAAAAATTACACCAAAGAACCTGGGATGGATTTTAGTTAAGTTATTGTTTTATTTATTTTCTTTCGAGGACTGGATGGGTCTCCCTTAGGAGCCTGTATAACTCCAATGTTTAATTTATCTGAAAGTCAGTGGTGAGCAGACGTGCAGCACTGGCTCGCTCCTGCCTGAGCAGCTGAAGCCCTCACTCAGTGCTCTTTCTGGCCCAGGAGCAAGAGGTTGGAAGCGCAAATGAAACCTGGGTCCTTCCGCAAGGCAGTGCAGAGCACTACCGCTAAGCCACTGGGCTGGCCCTAATCAATTATTTTAAGCTTCGTTTATTTATTTCAAAATCATGTCTCTATGTATTGGAGGCATTTCAGTCGACTGCAGTAAAATTTAGGATATAATGGCTACAGTCTAGAAATCAAAACCAGCAAAAGGAACTGTTTTTTGACTCTGGTTTAAAAAAAAAAAAAAAAAAGACATGTCTGTCTGTCTTTCTCTTTGTGGGTGTTTGAACCCCTCATTTGTTTTCCACTGCCGTTCATTGTACTGGCGTAAACAAAACTTTCATATTAAAATAAAAGTATGTATGGGAAATAGTTGGCTTCTGTGAGAGTGGAAAATAGATTAATCTAGGACCGGTATTTTCATAAAACGGAGATAATTGTTCTCTTCCTCAGTCCTTCCCTTCCATGAGAAAATTTACTGTTTGTGTAAAAATTCAAAACGTTGATGTTGGTGACTTTTTATTTTCAGCATATGTTTTCATTAACCGGACCTGGTTAATCCATGCTTGGCTTTTCATTAGATCTTGTACTCCTGAAGGTTAAGCTACTAACCAGGTTTATAACATGTATGTAACATCACTTTGTTTACCTGAGTCTTTTTAATTTGAATAAAAATAGTTTGCAAAGTGTTTTGGATTAACCAGGTTTGAGTGTCCCATCAAGACTTTTGTTAGGATTTTATTTCAAGTAATTCTGGCTGTCACTGATCAAGAGTTTATCAAGTCCTATGCTTGTGTGTGGATAAAGAAGCTTTTTTTATATTGTCCTGTGTATTTCAAGACGTGCCTAGTAGGTGCTAAGAACAGTGATGCTGAAAAATATGGTAGAAATTTGATCCATAAGGAGCATGAATAGAAAACATTGAGAATTATGCAACCCATTAGGAACAAGCTGAGTGGACATGGTAAGATTCAGTCAGTCCCAGTTGCCCCCACAATAATTGCTCTGAATATAAACAGCAAGCTTTAATTTCATGCTGGAAGCTAACTTGGTTCAGGACTCTCTTCTTATGTAGCTGTATAATGAAGGAAAGTAGAACAGTAATATAGAAAAAAAAGAACCTTTTACACAGTAAAATTGCAAACCAGAATAGAAATTGTCTTTAATACCACAAATGGCAAGAAAAATCAAGTGGTATCAACCTCTTGAGTTTCAAGGTGCCTCTGCCATACATTTTCTAAAGAGTTATTTAAACAGCCTGAACAGATAGTGTTGTATTTCATTAACATGCATTTATATCTTGGACCCAGGGGATAAACACTGCCTGTCATGCAGGCTGCCAGCTTTCTAGAACTTCCACCTTTCTAAAATTTGGTGGTGGATGG